TAAAAATCTGTTGCACTGATTGGCTTGGCTAAGAATCTGTTTTTTAATATGATCGATATGTTTACAATTGCCCAAGAAATTTTGTAGTGATCTTGATATTTCTATGCGTATTTCATCTACTGTATCGTCCGGTAATTTATAACTATTGTACTCGAAACTTTTTATTATGTCTAGAACCGTGTTTTGGCGATCTTTCTTGTTGTGTTATTGGTAAACTGAATTTATTGCCTACATTTAAAATATTTGAAACCTGATTTGGTACCTCAGTGTTGCTAATGTTTACGACCCATTTTGATCTGTCCCCGTTAAAAATTTTATTATAATTGGTCATCTTTTTATTTATCAGTGCATCAAATTTTTTAATCATATTGTTTTTCGTTTCATTGTTAAATTTACTAATACGGTGGTCATTAAACTTAAAAAAATCAAATAGTAACTTCTCCGGTAGGTTTGAGAACAAGTTAGTATTAAATCCAACGTCGTGTTCCTAATTTTAATAAAGTGGCCAGTTAGGTCGAATCAAAATTTAATTCTGCGGAAACGTTGCATCGAAGCTAACGGGGCCTATTTAAAAACTTTAATTCAATAAGTTCTTCGCAGGACTAAAGAACAGTCCTTTTCAAGGCTAGTAGTTTACTGCAAAACAGTTCTTTGCAAGACTACTGATATTGTAAAACGTCAGGAAACTTCTCTCATTTGCAACAATAAATAAAGCGTTCCTCCCCTACACTATTAAATAATTAAAGAATATTATGTTATCTCTTATTATCTCTTATTATATAAGTATGTCGAATTTTTTAATTTTAACATAAATCATGTAGTTAAAAAGAACAACTGCACCTAACTCAACCCATACTCTTAACTATAATACAATCATGTAGTTAAAAAGAACAACTGCACCTAACTCAACCCATACTCTGTAAGCAAAGGGCTAATGTGATGGAGCAATTTGGTCAGCAGGATTACTTTTTTTTTATTAAAAATCTATAAGAAACACCTAATCTGATTAGAGCTGCTTGATAAAATTTTTTTTGTCGGCCTTTAATATCAGAGAGAAAATTGTATTTAATATTATAAATAGAGAATAAATCTTTATTATAAAGAAAGACATTTTTCTCTATTTTTAATTTCCTCTATTTTTCTTTTAAGTATTTTCTTTTAAGTATGTGTTATTTAAATGTCTAATTGTTATAAGAGACTTCTCTTACATTTATTACTTCTGAGTAACTGGATGAAATCACTCGTAAAAAGATTCAATAAACGATTTGTCTTAATAATTAAGTGTTAACGCAAAGATTTCTAAAGACACAGATTGTTCGAAAAATAATTTTTGTAAAACACAGAATTTTTTTGTGTTTGTCAAATTCTTCATAGTAATGATTAAGTCTTGGTAAAAGCTCTACCTGTCGAAATGTTCTATAAAAGGAGGTACTTTTGATAGGAGGAATATAATTCTTGGCATAAGAAAAATTTATTTCTAATATTACGATGCGTAATATTACGCGATACACTGAGAAAAAAAATTTGTTCAACGAAAAACAATTTATTTGACTCAACAAAATACTGCGGTTGAATACGTGCAAATAAATATAAATGTAATAAGAACTAAATATTTTGTTTAATTGCTGCGATAATTTTAAATTGTTTTAACCAAATTAAGTAGTGTTAGGCAAAATACTTATTTGATTCAAAAGTATATTTAGTTGAACAGAAATTCATTTTGATGATTCATAAGGCAGCATTAATTGAGACAACAAAAAGATTCGTGTGTCAAACAAAAAATATAATAGAGCAACAAAATCTATATTTAAAATAAACACATAGTGTTTTCGCTTCGACTACATTACAGTTGAAACCATATACAAATTAATATTACCGCAGACTATATAGTTTTCATTTAACCTAGGGCAGTAGTTATAGTGACAAAATGTTCATTAGAACGAACTTTATATTTATTTGATGTGACGCAATATCCATTTAATTAAGTGAAATATTTTGTTTATTTCGTAATAAATTAAATTAAATGAACTATGGTTTTTGCTAGTTGAACTATTCACAAGGTATATTAAATATAAAGACATCTTGATTCGACAAAATCCTTGTTTCTTCAGAAAAAGTCATTAGTTAATGTAACATAAAAAGTGTTGTCGAGAACTATGAAATTTATTCGATTAACCATTCACATGCATTTACTGAAATAAAAGTTTGCTTCTTATTATCATATGAAATGTAACAAGAAAAAAAGATTTAGTTAACAGAAAATAATTTTTTTTTGGAATAACTAGGTATTAAGATACGATAAACAAATGTTTGATTCGAATAACCTTATATTATTTTCGCGTGCACACATGTTTTATTGTACAATAGATTTAAATAGATTTAAAAGTTGACAGTATCAAAACATATTAATAAAATATTGACTCAAAAAATGAAATATAAACAAAATCAATTTCATTCATGAGTAATTTGATTGTTTCAAATGAACTATTAGGTTATTGCTATTATTACAATTATTGCTGTTATTACAAAGTGTAATTATTACTACATTTTTAATAATAACAAATGTACTACATGTGTAGTAATAATAATTGTACATTTGTAACAAATTACTAATGAATAGAGCTGAATTTGTTCATATTTTACTTACTTTTCTTTGAGTCAATTATGTTTTGATGCTGTCAACTTTTAACCAATAATATCTATTGTATAATAAAATATATTGTATGTGCACGCAAAAATAATATAAGTTTATTCGAAACTACAAGCTATTACTATATCCTATAAATTTCTTCTGATCAATTAATGTTTAATTAATTAATTAGTTATTAATACGTCTACACCAGGCAGACACAAAAAGCTTATAGAGTTATAAAAATGTTTGGTATATAAGAATAAAGTATGCAATTTAAATTTTAGTTCGTTTATTGCGTAGTTTTATAATTATTGACCAGAAAACAAAATAAACTTACATTGTACATAAATCAATCATAAAAAATTTTCGTCGTTTACAGTCGTTATACATGTATGTATCCTGTACATACATGCACATATAGGTACACTTAAATGTAAATACATATCTGTGCTCTAATACTCACGAATTACAAATACAATGAAAACAAATTTTCTTCTTTCTCAATTCTACTTCTCAAATCTTTCTTTATAAATTTTAACTTTATAAAAAAAAATTTCTGTAAGTAAAAATGTATTACCGATATAAAAACATGAGGAAACAAATACCATCAGATTTTTATGCTAAAGAAATATGCTTACGTACTAAAAATTATGCAAAATAAAATTATATAAAACTAACTAAAAATACTGATTTTGCATAAACATCTCTTAACGGATCTATATGCACGGAATGTAATGTTTACCATCCGCCATTACGTACAACTTGGTAGGAGAATACTGAGTAATATCTTTGAAACTTATAAATCCCCACGTATTTGTCTCGGTCACTTCAAGTGCACAATAATGTCGATGTACACCCAATGTTTTTAGTCTGAGATAAAAAATATATATATTTCGCGATTCATAAATAACTATATATTTAATCTGTCCAAATGTCAAATCATTACCATTCGAGTCTACTATTATAATTGTATTAATATAGTAAGCTATGCCATTTACTTCAACATGCAGTCAATATGCTTTCAGTTACGAGATACGGTGGAAAAATATTCTTTAAATGGCTATAATTGCAAAGAGAAGTCAACTTTTCATCGAGTATGGGCCCCCAACATAAGCGATTTGAAAATCCTTCGTTAATAAGAAATCGATAAGACATACTGAGTTGATGTTTCAAAGCTAACGTAAAAGCTGGATTTTTACGTGATGTTACGACTTTAGAATTGCTCTTCAATTGTTTATGCTTCGCTTCATAACGAATACAAGAAAGATACTTGAGGGGACCAAATCTTTTCATAATTCGAGCATAGTGAAGTAATAAATGATGTTTAGGTTTTAGTGGCTCAGAAAAGAGTTTTAAATATTGCGTGTGATGCTCCGAAATCAGAGTTTCAAGTAATTGGGTAGCCGCAATGTTAAATGACGGAGACAAGATAATGCTTATTATTTCGCGTAAATTGAGGTAAAGTTCCCATACTTCATGATCTAGAGGAACAAGGTCGCCGATCAGCAAACTGAGATTCTCGACTAAGAACAACATTTCTGATGACGAAATTATTAGTAGCTGTGTTGTAAGAACGTTGCTTGGTATACAAAGAGGCGTATTCTTTCCAACACTCGTACCGTAATCAAAATGCTCAATTCGCGAATTTAGGGTATCAAGAGAAAATATTTTTTCGTCAATTATAAAAGTCTTAAAAATTTTCGCTATTTCATATCGGCATATGCCTTCGAAAAGATCATACATAATATCTAAACTTGCATTTTCTATTACGTGAAAGCTCGAAATTTCATTGAAGACACACTCAGCGTTTATTCCCCTCAAACATCTTGCAGAGTCTTCGCGGTAATTTTCAACTGTGCGTAACATTTCACAATCTTCTGTGACCTGACTTTGCGTTTCAGCTTTATCAGCTAAACAAATTCGACACCAATGTTTTGAATTGAAGGAAGTCGTAAAATCAGTAATATAATTAATTCCAAGATTATCACCAATTATTGTCAATAACGCAAAATATATCGTACGTTGTTGACCGTTTACATCGATGATTAATCCATCTTTTTCGAGCTCATTTATCTGATTAATTATATTGCAAAATATTTTTTGATTACCAATACTTTTGTGATCTACTGAATTATGTAATTGAGCTAAAAAGATGTTTTCCAACATGCTACTATATTCGAATGGTAAGCAAGCAATTGAGAAGTAGACCGCACCAAGTTTATGTACATTTTTGTGAGATCCGAGAGCATTATTAATTTCAAAATCGTCAAAATATAGTATTATTGGCAATACTATTTCCTCTGTAAATTTTTTTTCAATATTTTTCCATACCTCTCCTTGAACTGCTGAAATAATTGGCTCACTTTTTTTACAATATTCTAAATGCGATAAGATAGAACTCAAAACGTTCGGTAGTTCTAAAAACTTTTTCAAAACCGATTTTATTGGTATAACTTGAATCTCTGTATTGGATATAACAACTTGACGTCGTCCGTCAAGAAAACGAGACTTTAGTGTCGCGCCAACTACAATAGACTGAGGTTTTATTAGAACACTCAAATTATCAAAGTACTTAAAAATTTTGTGCTCAGTTGAAAAATTATCAAACGCGTGCTGTATTATATTGAACATCGAGTCGAGGTCAGATGGTAATTCTTTATATTCCTGACAGTTATACTTTTCTTTCAGCATTGATATAAAAGTCAAGCCATACAGATTGTTTAATTTATCGATTAAACTTGATACAAACGATCTTGTAAGAGTCAAGTCCGCATAAAGCTCAGCGACAAACAATGCAATACGCTGATCTACTATGTGTTAAAATTTTTCAACACTTAGACAGAGTTGAAGGGGCGGAGAAGTCTTACTCGCACAAGGTTCATGGACAAAATGACTTCGAGAGGTACTCGAAGATTGCGAATTATCGAATTCAACAGGACCTTCGCTGATTGACTCTTTTTCAATTTGCTGTGTTCTATCATGTATACTATATTTCAAACTCAAATGTCTTCTATATGTGTAAAAATTATTGAAACTACGGAAACAATTTTGGTATGGACAATAACAAGTCGAAGTCATTAACGTTTTGTGTTTGAGTTTCATGTGACTCGTAAAGGCAACTTTTGAAGATAATTGCGAATTGCAAAATGGACAAGGAAACATGTTGTCTGAGTACCGTAACATATAAATATTTTAACTTGTTTTAAAAAAATGATGTTATAATTTCGAGAATACGATCGTTTGCGAGTGTGATGAATTTATTCTTTTCTTTGCTCGTTATTGTCTTTGTCCAAATTCGAAAGTTCTGTGATGATTTCCATAATGTAAGGAGCCATTTTGTCCCATTTTGTCGAGAACATGAACAGACTTCGTTGCAAAAGTAGCCATAAGTGTTCACTCTCAGGCGGGTATACGGCATTGAGCACATGAAAACATTTGAAGCATATTTCTAGAGCTTTTAGAACTGACGGTACCTTATATAGCACTTTATCGACACAAACATAGAAGCTGGAGATTTCGGAAAGAGTTGGTCCGACAACGATAATGAAAGGTTGTAGAGTGAGACCAAGTTTCTTCATCACTTCCCTTCGTCTTTCTTGAATATTGATCGTGTCGGCTGACACCTACAATAAACAAATTAAAGCTTTACAAAAGTATATATTTATTAATGAACTTATTCTTGAATATATTAAAAAAATTCTTATATATTAAAAAGTTTACCACTGCATGCACAATAATGCTATCTTTGCATTCACTTATCGACGGTTTCCATTGATTTTTAGAACCCCTTATTCGTCCTTTCGGTGGTATCATGTGTGGCAGTATACGTAGCTGTAGAAAGATTCTACTATCTATACATTAAAAAAATTGTATTAGATTAAATGAATACATAAATATTTACGATTGCTAATAATAGATTTTATTAACCATCAGTCAAGTTTTCAAGTTGAAGCAATTGGTTCAACGATTCCGCGTTATTGTCGTCCTTCCTGATTGGGCAAATTTTCTGAAGATTCGCGTAAAAGACAAACCAATTTTTTACGCTGAGCTCTATAGTTATCAACTTCAGGGAAGCGTAGTCTATTTCTATAAGATCGTATCCCTTTGGATGCTTCAAAAGTGGCCAACATTCGAAAATCTCACAGACTTTTGAAGTTGTTTGCAAATTATTGTCTTTGCGACGACATTCCGTTGTAGCTTCCACTTTGCAGTGACTACTTCCCATGGCTCTGTGTGCTTCTGGAGCCACGTTAGCGCTTCCGCAATACCTTCAGTATCTACAAATGATACGAAACTTTACATGTGCATACTAAATATTTATAAAAAATGTAACGTTTTGTACAATTGTTATTTAACGCAAAAAATCAAAGAGTTATGAATTTGACGAAGCTGAAGATAAGCTAACATACCATCATCGTCAGAAGATGGATTCGTAGAACTAACAGGCTTGTCGAATGATGTGTCAGAATCAGACAAATTTTTTAATTCCCGGATTTTGTTTCGATATTTGCCGACCAATTTTCCTCTTGACACAATAGACTTCTGAGTACGCGAGTATCTCTTCGCAATAGGTGGAATATAATAAGTGTATGTAGACTCCGTAGGGAAAACTTTGACGATTATTTGAGCCAGATACTCAAAGTCCTGATTTGTTAAGCTGTAAATTGCATTTGTAAATTTATTTAAAAAAACTAGATTTTTCGTTACAAAAATCATAAAATTACACTGGTCAAAAAAATTAACGCAACAAGAAATTTACATCAAAATTTGGCGAATTTCAAATAAGCGTAACTTCGCGAAAACTGGTCGAATGG